GCAAGGATGCTACTAGGGGCTCCTGGCATCGCTACTAGGGGCAAGGACGCTACTGAGCATTCTTACTAGTAGTAACAAGAAGTTCCTTCACTCCTTCGCCGACAAATCCCGTTTCCCAGATTTGCTTCTGCGCCTACGCGCCTTTGGCTTCTTTGGAGAAGCCAAAGGAATACCGTCACCGATTGCCAGACAACCAGGAGCATTTTTGCGGGTTTCCTTTGCGACAAACAACTCATTTTGTATATAGTTTGCATGTTTTGTTTGAGGCAGTGCAGATCATTGGGCAGGCTCCTATGGTTAAGTCCCTTGCCCACATCACTTTGCAGGTTGTAGTGATGTGGCTGGAAGGCGAATGCCAATGCCCGCAAATCCACCCATACTTGGGCTCAATGTTTGAATGTAAAATGATCTGTGAATATGTCGTGCAAATTCCCTCAACCTCAATTACAACAAGAAGAAAACATGAGCCATTATTATGTGCAACGCCGTACCACCACACTATCTCTGTTGTACGGTCGTACTCTTGGTTTCGTTTCCCTAGCCACCACGAACAAGGAGACTGTGACGACTCGGGGTCAGTCAAGCCCAAACACTAAAGCCTCAAAGAACAAAATCATACAAACAGCTTAACTAGCCGCTCTTGAATCAGCCGCTATTTGACTTATATATTCAATTCAGAAACGATGTAAGACAGTAGTTAAACTTATTACTTACACGTTAAAGTACATGTGGCCTTTCTTGTCCAGGAAATCGAGGTCACGGCCTTTTCGCGTCAGATCCCAGAGGCAAGTGTTGCGGGAGTTGAGCGGCTGCAATTTCCTTCCAATACTTATGTCACTTCTTCATTCAGTCACTTTACCAGATGTTTTGTTTGGAAGTCTCCTAAAGTTAGGAGAACTTGGGGCACTAAGTAAGCGGTTCCTCCACTGAATCACCACGCACAGGGACATGCAGCTGGAAGTGTTTGGCACATGTGTATTTTCATGCTGTCAATTCTGGCCGGAAGACTTCTTGCCAACACAGTCGATTTCAATGTTGTATTGTATGCGGGCCCTTACTAGGTCACCTGTTAGGAAGCAAGGAACTTACAGAAGACATCAGACGACCAATCAAAGTGATGTTTCCGGAGCACATGACAAGCCTGCAACTATATACTTAATCTAGCAGATACCTTTGGCAAGCGTATATTTTACGGGGTTGGGCTAGCTCCGATGTCAAGCAGCATTTTGTTGAAGGCCCTGCTGACCGGCACTGTTTTGCGCGGAGAGTGCTTCTTCGGTGTGCCGCAGTTGCTTGGCAATGCCTTTGCTACTCCATTCTGCAATCCTTGTTTACTTGTGTATATAGGTCTTGGACCTTGGATTTTGTATGCTACTCACAAGTAAAGTAGGAACTCAATTGAATTGCGCTGTACCCCATGTTGGATCTTACTATTAGTATCAATCTAGTTCATTCATGTCTTAACCTCAGAGAGCTTGTTAGTTTGCAGTCGAAATATTTGATCCCTTTGACGCTTCTCCGTGGCATGGCCCTGAGGGTTGACACCCACGTATTTCAAGTGTTTGAAACAGTGTCTATATAAGGGAAATCAAAACATTGGCTGCAACTGGGCACATACATGGCTTTTGAAAGAGTGCAAGTGTAAACTGTGTAAACCTTGCCAATTGTTTTCATGAATTTTCATGTAAACTTTGCATGCTCATGAAGTCCTGAATGTTCCACATCAATACACACATTCATGGTAGCCTCACCACGCCGGAAGATATGTGTATGAACTTCCATGGATGTGTTTGTTTCCTTACTCTAGTCTCGTTTACCACAAGTCTACGCAGAGTAGAGCAGGCATGCATATATGATCAGCTGGAGTTGATCAAGTTCAATGAGGAAGATAAAGTTTGATAATTAGACAGGTCTATTCTTACACTGCTTGAGTCCGGCAAATGTATTCATGTTGCCCTCGACAAGCTTTGTGTTGCTTCGTTTTACCAAACATATGCCATGGTAACGACGAGATGCTCTACCCTACTGGACTCTGATGTATTCGACTCTACTACACCCTGATCCTGACCCTACTCTACAAACAAAGTGCAAGCAGAGGAGCATAGATCTGAATGAGTTTAATGAAATATAGTAGCATGTCAGCCTATCATGGAAGAGAGTCGGCAAAGCAGGACAAACTGGAATAATATGTCTGTCTACTACAGAGCAAAGAGCTGGAGCTCGGAGCTAGGTGGGTTGGGGGAATATAGACTGAAGAGTAGAGTTGAGTGTAGAGTCAACAGAGTTGTGGGTCGAGCGCATCAAGAGTGGAAAAGGGGCTTGGAAATCAAGTGCTACTGCAGTTGAACTACAGAACCAAATTACGCTGTTTGCAAGAGATAAATCAGAACCATGAACTAGGAATTGCCACTGAGAAAACAAAAGAACATAACATAGGAGAACAGACTGAAATAGAATAGAATAGAATGAACAGATAAAACGGAATCTTAATCTGAATAAGAAAATCAGCACAATATATTTATATATATATAGACAAATCTATGAATGCGGCTAATCCTGCTGACTCTCACCCAATCCTACTCTACACTGCCCTAAGTTTCTGCACGACCATGCTTCGTTTGTGTTAGGAAATGTCATTTTGGAGGTCTTAGCGTCCTTGCTCCTAGTAGTAAGGCCAGGAGCCCCTAGTAGCGTGTAGGTATGCGTCATGTGCAGACCTGCACGGATCAGGTCTGTATGAGTTGGCATTTGCTCATTTGCTCATACCCATTTCACGTCACATGTCCCTTTGAGGCTCGCGTCGGAGGCTAGCGGCTTTGATCTTGGGAGAAAGATCATTATTACCTCATGCTTTGACAGCAGAAAGCGTCAACAATGAGCTTGCGGATGCTACTGTATTGCTTGATGTAGTTGCAATCATCTGCACACCGTTGTTCGAACAATTGTGTTTTTGGGCACCAGCAACAAATCAAAGTGTTCTGAGAAGCATGTTAAAGCTCTTGATTTGGTAGGTTCCGAACATGGACATTTAAGATGATTTAAGTGAACTGCAGAAGGGTTTTCTCTCCAATGTAAACAGACCACGCATGAGGACGAGCTTGTTATTTGGCTTGGCAATGGCAATGGTAGACAAACAATAGTGCGGCCTGGAGGGCGTAGCTGCGCGAGGCGATTCTCACCTTGCCGGTTGGTGCTAGCTCTGCTGGGTCGGAGGCAATGGGTGAGCGGTGAGGAGGAATTACTACAAGACCTAATGAGGCATTTGGCAACCATCCCACTAGAAAAAAGCTGTAGTCTTAGTAGAGACTAGCTTAGCTGTATTGGCTCTAGGTCTCATTGACGAGTCATCTATTGTTTGCTGGCAAGGCTCTCAAGATGAGACCGACAGACAGATATGGAGGTCAACAATACAATGCCCAGGGCAATGATGCCTCAATACCAATGCCTGAAGACGACACGTGGGCATAAAACAATCTGAATCTAAGCTTGAACACGTTGAGATCTCCAAAGTGTATGAATCAACAGTTCTATGAATCGCAGGCCTCCATTCAGGCTTGTGTGACAGCGGAGATGTCACCTACGGTCAAAATAAGGTCGATCACATCGCTAGTTAAGTTTCCCTAAAAATCTAGGAACCACATCATTAGCGCGAGCTATCCTGCGTCCAGTTCCTAGTAGCTCAAGTAAGCTACTATATAGCTACTCCCTAGCTACTACTATCGCGGCCTGGGCAGAAGGAGCTGTCCCAATCTCAGGTCATTCTGGTGGGCGGTTCCTCGCGCTTTGTTAACTTCAAGGATCGCTTGCAGGTTGCCCTTGCAGAGCCTTGCCACGCAACCAATGTTGCTTGTATCCCTGTCCTATGCTGTCCTACTCGAGGGGATGCGTCAGCCAATAGGGATCTGCCTTGAATTAAAGATATAGAACAAGCAACTGGCAAAAGCCTTTTATCCCCTTTTTGGGCTCAAACTTGGTTTGAAGTGATACTTGAAGCGATGCCCGGCATCACAACCAATACACTCGACCAGAGTGGTCCACGACTTGGCCACGTCGTTTGAAGCTCTTCATCTCCCAGCATCTCAGTCCTCCCGACCTTCACAGGTTACCTCTTTGCTGGCTTCGACTTGAGTAATGCAACAAGAAGCTACTAGGAACAAGTGCATTGCTTCTAGTAACAAGTGCCTTACTAGTAGTAACAAGAAGCTATTAGAATTAAACTTAAATGCTTTTCCCTTTGTTACCTATTAGATCCATTTACTGTATATCCTATGAGTGCTTATGCACATGCATACACCTGCGTTAGGGTTAAAACTTACAACCATTCCTTCACAAGCAAAAGACAACGATGCCTCCCTCTAAGGAGAAGTCCAAATTTGTGCACAGCTGTGGAAAGTGGGAATCCCCATTTGTTTTGATGTGGCATGAGATTACACACGGAGGTTTGATAGGCTCACATATGAGGATGAAGTACCTGAAATGTCATATGTTCTTTTGAGTGTGCATGGACTCTAGACTCTAGACCTCTTTGGCTCTCTAGGTGCCTGTCCCACTGGTTTTGCTACCATCCTTGAAATACAAGCAGAGGGGTTCCATAAAGAAAGCTGTATTGGTAAAGTTTGCGCAGCTGGCTTTGTGAACTGTATACTGGTACTGTTGTGTTTGGACTTCTGAAGCATACCTCCGAATCGTGCAGCAACTGCTACCCCACCAACAGATTCGGTTTGTTTCGACAAGCTTGCAGAGAAAAAATGAGAAAAACAGTGTTGTGCGATGAACGATGCTGACAATTTGGGGCTTGACTTAATCGAGCCACCATGGTCTGAAACAGTTTAGTGAACACCGTGAACACCCAGAAAGATCCTAAAAGGAATTATTGCAAAGGATCTGTGAGCTCCAGGAGACTTCGAACCTCTCCCCATTTCTCCCCGCTCTACCTCCTCTTGCCCCATTGAGAATTGAGAACCATGCTTCACTATGAAGCCATCCAGTCAGGTTCCTTCTAGTGATTAAAGACCCGTGCGTCAAGTTAACCAAATGACAGCACCTTGCTAGACCAGAGCGAAATGTGTTTTTCTTGTCGGCAAGTTTGGCAGGATGTGAAAATTTGTGGACGTTTCATTCAGATGTTTATGGTAGTCCAACCAAGCAATTCACATGTTCTCCATCCTTGCCCAAAGCTCAGGACTATCTTGATGGTCGCCAAGTGAAAGTGACGCAAGTTGACAATCGCTACGTTACTTGGCTGTGCAAGATAGATAATAAGGAACAGCACTAGCCGATTTCAAGAGTTTCTTGACTGGATAAGTAATTCGTAAACACAGCTACTGTTTGTGCCGCCTAGTTTTCAATATTCCTATATAGACAAATACAGACCGACACAGGACCTTGCAAGGTGTTTCCGAAGCCTCATTGAGGGAAAGACTTTAAATTGGCTTATTGTCTCATTGAGGGTTGAAAGCTTCAAGTTCCAAGTTCCTTTGAAGTTACGTAAGTTTCCCAAAAAAATCCAGGAACCAATTCATTTGAAGCGTGAGCTACCCAGCGTCCAGTTACTAGAAGCGAACTATAGGTTCTCCCCTTAATTAAGTAGGCAATAGGGGGTATAGTTATATATAGCTAGGGAGGCAGGGCAGCGCGGGCTAAAAGAAAGCAATAATCAATTCAAAACAAATCAACACAAAACAAGCAAAACAAATAACAAAAACAAATTGCTTCCTTCGAGATGAAAGACCCGACTCTTGGAGGCCTCGTGCTTGGGTGCTTCTGTTGCAGCACAGCTGAAGCATCCCCTTGTTAGGCTTGGCAGACCGGGAGCATTTCCACAGCCAATACTAGACTAGATGGTGCTCTGGTGTGCGGTATGGACATGACGCCTTCTGTGTTTGTTTGTCTATTGTGTTTCATGGAAAGTGTCCAAAATCTAGGAACCGAATCGCTAGTGTGAGCGCTTCTTCAAAGGAGCTCCCCCCGCCCTCAGGCGGGGTTCCTTGAAGAAACGTGAGCTATCCTGCGTCCAGTTACTAGAAGCTTAAGTAGCTAGGAGCTTACTCCTTGCTAGTAGCTACTAGCCACCTCTTCGGCCTACCCCCCCCCGTGGTAAAAGAACAATTGGAATGTATTGATTTGCGTCAATCCTTAGTGCTTTTGCTTTTGCTTCGATCAGGTGGGTCACAAGATCTGAGTACCAAGAACACGGGTCGCACGTCTTCACCCGGCTTTGATGGTGAGCTCTGGTTTTATTTGAGCCCATTCTTCCTTCTTACTTAAAATTTTCTGGGTACTAGACAGGTTAGAGAAGCAGCCTGTTTGAGTGTGTCTATGCAGTGGAAGAATTGGTCGGATACACCATTAGCCATGCTAGCGCATCGCTGGCGGAACTTTGTGAGTCTTGCGGATATGTGCAGGCAAACACTTGTTTGCACGTTCAAAGCTTGCTGATCGTCAGGTGGTCAGCTTGAGCACAACATGGCCAAAGTTGCCAGTTGGTTACATTCTACCACCACAATATACTCCGCTGTTGGTACACACCATGACTCTACAAGGCAAACTTCGAGAATGTATACAGGCCCTGTATGAGCATATTTTTCACGTCCAGTATCCAAGCAACCCCTTACATAGTTCTATTGCGCACAGGATTGATGGGATGATGTCCAAAGAGACTCGAAGTTCAGCGGCCCAAAAGTTGTTGGTGAACTTAACTAGCGCTCTAGCGTTTGACATTGACCATCCATGGAAGGTCGAGGAACTGGCATGAACCACTTGCACTCTGTCTTGATACTTCTCAAATTCCAGAGCTGTGTTCTAAGACTAGTGTCATTGGCAGTGCAAACATTGCAGACAAAGGGTGATCCTTCACATGCATTAGTTCACCGGAAACTAGACTATATATATATAATTGTTTGATTTTGATTGGTTGATCCTCTTCCGTGGTTTGAGTTTGACTCTGTTGATTCATCCTTCACTTCTTGCAATTTATACGGTCTGCGATACGCCATGTGTCTAAGGACACATCGCTGGCGTCGCATTTTAGTTGAGCCCAGCTTGGGCGGCAGGTGCATTTCGGTGTCAAACACATGGCACTTGGGGTCTCGATGACGCAAGCGGACATAGCAACTACAGTACTGTTCCATGTCGCTTCTTCGCAGGAACAGGGTTATAACATGTTTGGTGAACCTGTCTAGATCATTCCAGAGGGTCAAATTATGGTATGTATGATGATACAGACCATGGCTAAATCTGTGCCAGCTCCTCAAGACCCTCAGGAACTCTGAATCAGACGCATCAGATCGAGCAAACAAGTACAGGATTCCAGCAAATGTTGTGTTTCTGTGATACAATTGTATTATATGTAAACGTTTTTGTTTCTCAGTCTTTCATTTTTGGAATTCGATTTGGAGATGGCTCCAGGCCGTGTCAAGGAGCCTTCAACGAGACCAGAGCGTGCACACATGCGGGTCGCCAGGAGAAGATGCGCATCTCCGGGTCGCATTTCCAAAGAGATTTTGTTCATTCCCTAGAAGCAGACAACTGGTTTTACGAAAGAATCCTTGAAGTATGCCCTCCATTTCCAAAAGGAGGGCTATTTGTTTAAGAAACAATAGGTGTTAGTGTTAAGGAATTTTGTTTGGATTTGCATTTTGTTGTTTTCCTTGCTTGTCATTGCTTCTCTGTGATTTCTCCTGCTTTTCTTGCTTTTGATTGGTTCTTTAGCCTCTGTTTTTCCTGCTTTTTTGTGCTTGTTTTGCTTTCCTTTGCTTTTCATTGCTTCCTGTGATTTATCATGCTTTTCTTACCTTTCTTGCTTCTTTTGCGCCCATCTCGCTCCTGGCTTTTCTCCTACTCTTCTTTACTTTCTTGCTTTTTGTCCTCTTGTGGCGTATTGTGTCCCTGTTTTAACTGCTTTTGCTTTCTATGGCCGTTTGTTGCCGTCGCTTTTGATTAGTTGCTTTTCAAGCCTGAAGTTTGTGTTGCTCTATTCTTGCATTTCTTGCTTTCTATACTTTTCTTACTCTTCTTGTTTATTTTCAGCTCTACTTGTTGTTGTGGTTTGTTTCACCTTCCGGGGCAACCCAAGTGCATCATATGAACAAAACTCTTGCTTTCTTTATTCCCTTCTCGGTTATGATGCACTTGTCTCCTTCTTTCGCCCTGCGGCCGGAGTTTTGTTGTTGTTATTGTGTTTGCCTTGTGTTTCAGTTGATTAGCATATTTTTGACACAGGCCTTAGGCGCCCTGAAATATTCATGGACACGGTACAGGTATTTCTCCTACAAACAGCTAGCTTTCCACTTCCGCTCAAGGAAATATAGAGAAACCACGACCGCAAAAAAAATCATCAAAGGCAACTAGGCAACGCAAGAAATGTTAGTCGAAAGAGTTTCTAGGTATCAACCGGCAACGAACAAACAAGCCAAAAATGGTGCACACATAGAAAAAGACAAATTGTCCCCAGATTCTTCCAGACGAAGCTCCTTCATTCTGTATTTATATATATATAATTGTTGCATCAATTTGGATAAACTTACAATCCGCATGATTTGGGTCTGTCCCATTACTTGCAACAGTCGGTAAGCAATTTAATCAAGTATATCAATTATCACTATGTTGGAGAGAGGCTTTTACTAAACATCATCTTCCACTGATACTGGTAATAGGATAGACCCCATGCAGAATCTAGGCTCCACTTTCACCCTGGGCTGCCAAGTCAACACCTGTTAATTTGGCAACCAATCTTTGGTTTATTACAGAGTTGGAAGTCAATGAGGTCAGACCGGTTTCCATTATTTTTAAGTAACACATAGGTATTTACACCCTCGGGAGTCCTCTCTGTCAGGGAACACCTCTTCTCTGAATGCTGCTTAAACATACTTCAACTGTTATTACCTCTACTGAATTTGCCGCTGCTATTTGCACCCTGTAAGTTCGAGGTGAAAGTTGTCATTGCCATGACATTCACCCTAATACTAGTCACAACATGGTTGTTGCAATGTGTACAATATACCGTTGCTGCTGCTGAATACTACTCTGCACTTATTCATCAATATTGAAACTTATCGGCAATGCGTCCTGATGTGCTTGAGCATGTTTAAACATGCGTTTGTGGGACATGTTGAACGAAGTCGATTTTCAGGTCTCAAACACGGGCTACTCGGATACTCGCTGTGTTTGCCAGGACTGCGAATTCTCTGTCTGGGGAGGGTTTGGGCGCTGAGATTATGATTGTGACTGTGACCGAAGGGATCGCAATGGACTATTTGAAAAGCCGTCCATCCCGAGACTTTTGGATGTGACTGCGGAGCTGTTTCAATCTCTCAACCGCCTGGACTCTGCGAACGTTTCACATGCAAGATGCCAGTTTCTGGCCAGAGCTTCACCATCATCACTTTGTCATGGGCCCACATCGTAATGTACATCCATTTATGCAGGTTTTTGCTACAGGCACTGCTCCAGTAGATGGTCCATGTTACTCTATGGCTGTGATCGAAGAAGTATGGTGGGTGGCCGCTTTGGCCTGAAAGCCACGAAGCTTTTGGATCTGAAATGTATGCATTATGTTCATGTTGAGAGGCAGGACACATCAGGACACCAAGAGATCTTACACTGATTGTCGTGTACTAAGGGCTAGTTTCGGAGACGTATTTGCTTGCAGTTAACCCGTCCATCCCGGCCCAGGTGGACAGAGTGCAGTGCATCGTGCGAAGGTGGAACTCAGTCACGGCTGCCCGGGCCCTTGCGTGGAGAAGCAGAGAACAAATCGTTTTGACAAGAATACTAGAAATGGCCTCCGACCTAGCAATGGCCTCCAACCCAATAGCGATGGCCTCCAACCTACTAGCAATGATCTCCAACCTACTAGCGACGGCCTCGAACCTAATAGCAATGGCCTCCAACCTACTAGCGATGGCCTCCAACTTATACAATAGCAATGGTCTCCAACCTCCCCAACCTACTAGCGATGGCCTCCAGCCTAATAGAACTAATTAATACTACCGTATTTTAGGTGTCCACCACAAACAACTTCCACGTGTATCGAGTGGCCCGACCTGTGTCATGGACCATCGGCAGAGAACTTACACCAACTCCAGCTGGATCTCAGGTAAAGGATTGTTCTATTTGAGGCAATTATGCAGTGTGGGCACTGTAATGTGGTGCACCACAAAAGGTGTAAAAACCATAGGCAAAGTTTTTGGATCTCATCGACCGAATAGGGTCCAGCAGACTTTGTTTGATCGAACCCATGCAAATATGAACAACTTACACTAGGTGTGGATGCCTTTGCACCGCATGCTGCTGATTGTTTGTACTGTTGGTTCCAACAAAAGCCTCACGCCACTGGATTGAGACTGCACAGGCGTAAAATTGAAACCTTTGCCGACCATGGAGGAACGTCGAGAGCCCTGAAGTTGTGACAGGAAGGGCTGTTCCATATTGTCCCAATGCTCCACAACAGCACAGATGACGACTATAAAATGCTGTAGTACTATGTTGTTTACGGATCTGTGGATGAGTCCTTTCTGGAAATGAATGCAATGTGCTACTACTCGCACATGTTGAATCCTTCTTCTGTTTATTGCGTGGAACTAGCTTCACATGAGGCGCGCATTCTGAGCATCAGGGCCAGTTCTTTTTGACAGACAAACTCAGACTGAGCTGTCAGAAATTTGCAATCATGTTGATTGACATTCAGTGATACATTTTATCACTTATATATTTAGCATTTGATGACCTATATGTATATAACTGTATATATGCATATGTATAACCATCTACAAAATATGTTACATGTCGGGCTTAGGGCTTGTTGAGGCTTGAGGGGACAATGGATGCGGGGATGAAAAGCTTGCTTGACCAGACCTACAGCCCTAGTCACCCTAGTCCCTATGAGGATCGCTCCCTTCGGTCTATGTCAATCAACTCAGATCCAATCAACTCAACCATTAGTATCCCTTCCATCCCAAGTTGTGATTGCAGCACATGACATATCGCTGCATGAATCAGTGATTTTGGCGTATATCAGGGCAAGCTACCAACCGACAAGCAGGCAACAGAATGTGACTTGCTATGACAATATGGGTGTATGTTAGTGCATTTCAGGGTCATTGAGTCATCAGCATACATGGCAAGGGGCTTGGGGCAGTCGAGCAAGAGAAAAGATTGCTCTCGAGGCCTTGCAATGGGATGCTTCGAGAAGCACAAGACAAGACCTTAGCACAAAGTCACA